ACCGTGCCTGGCTGGGTCAAACTTTAGAGAGCCACAGATGATTGTTATATCTAAGATCCCCACTGTACCCCCAAAACTTATTTTAAATTTCCAGAATAGACAAATATCAAAAATAGATTAGTGGTTGCTTAGGGCTTTAAATGGGGAATGACAGGAAATGGATAAAGGATTTTTTTTTTTTTTTTTTTTTTTTTGAGACGGAGCTTCGCTCTTGTTACCCAGGCTGGAGTGCAATGGCACGATCTCGGCTCACCGCAACCTCCGCCTCCTGGGTTCAGGCAATTCTCCCGCCTCAGCTTCCTGAGTAGCTGGGATTACAGGCACGCGCCACCATGCCCAGCTAATTTTTTGTATTTTTAGTAGGAACGGGGTTTCACCATGTTGACCAGTATGGTCTTGATCTCTTGACCTCGTGATCCACCCACCTCGGCCTCCCAAAGTGCTGGGATTACAGGCGTGAGCCACCGCGCCTGGCCAGGATTTTTTTTTTTTTTTTTTTTTTTAAGAGATGGGGTTTCTCCATGTTGGCCAGGCTGGTCTCGAACTCCTGACCTCAGGAGATCCGCCCACCTCAGCCTCCCAAAGTGCTGGGATTACAGGCGTGAGCCACTGTGCCCGGCCTGGTACAGGGTTTCTTTATGGGGAAACAAAAATGTTCTAAAATTAGATTATTGAGATGGTTATACAACCCTATGAATATACAAGAAAACACTGAGTTATATATTCTAAATGGATGAATTATATGGTATGAAATTTTATCTCAGTAAAGCTTAAAAGAAAAGAACCAATTTTCACCTCTTTGGGGTGATATCATCTCAGCTGAAAATGCATGACCTAGGCTACTGGAGGAAGAAAGGTTCTACAGCCATTCTTCCTTTGCTCGAGCTGCTTAGAGCTAAAAGAACAATAAAGTACATGGAATGAGCATATTATACTTGGGTGTAGAAGTGAAATCAAATATAATTAACAATTATCAACATATCTAATTGTAAACACATAATCATATATAAGACATAAATGATAGTGTACATAAATGACTAAAATTCTCTAGCGAGCTAGTGGTCAGAAGGTAGCCTGTCCTTAAGAAAGAGAAATACAGAAATTTTTTGGCTCACAGGCTTTACCGTAAGAGAAAACAGTTAAAAAGCAGGTGGTACTCTCTTCCCCATCAACCATCTATCTTCTCTCTGAAGCCTGAAGTGTGAGCTGCTCCAGTTTGAATTTTTTCTTTTCTGGGGGAAGCCTTATTTCTATCTTTGCCATCCAGTTTGATTTTAAAAGACAGTGCTGACCCCAGTCGCCCATCCAGTTTCTGATCATTTCAAATTATCAAGGGATAGAGCATGTTAGTCTGCCACTCCAACACCCAGGCTATCATACACTTAATTTTAAAACAGCAGGAGATGTAGCCTTCAAGTAGTCTCTAGAGCAGCACTGTCCAAAGAAGCTTCTGTGATGATGGAGGTGTTCTATGGCTTATAGACTATACTGAGCAATTGAAATGTGGCCAGTGCAAATAAAGAACTAATTTTAATTTTACTTCAAATGAAAATTAACTTTAAATTGTAATTTTCATTTTAATTTAAATAGCTGCATGCGGCAATTTAATACCATATTGGACAGAGAATTCTCAAGTAATGATATCTAATAGAAATATAGACTGGGGCTGGTCACGGTGGCTCAGCCTGTAATTCCAGCACTTTGGGAGGCTGAGGTGGGCAGATCACTTGAGGTCAGGAGTTCAAGATCAGCCTGGTCAACATAGTGAAATCCCATCTCTACTAAAACTACAGAAAATTAGCCAGATGTGGTGGCGAGCACCTGTAATCCCAGCTACTTGGGAGGCTGAGATGTGAGAATTAAAAAAATAATAAAATTAAAATAATGTGACCTAGACTTGGTGGCATATGCCTATAGTCCCAGCTACCCAGGAGGCTTAGGTGGGAAGATCACTTGAGCCCAGGAGTTAGAGTCCAGCCTGGGGAATATAAGTTATGTGGTAAAACGAAACAAAACAAACAAAAGCAACAATGACAACAAAACTATAATTACACAAGGAATTTTAAATTTTCTAATAGCTATATGAAAACAGTATTTAAAAAGTAAAATTAATTGTAACTATATATATATTTTTTCTCTTTGTAACAATATATATTTAAACCAATATACCCAAATGTTATTTCAACATGAAAATAATTATTGAAGTATTTTGCACTCTTCTTTTGGTACCATATTGTAAGGTACGTGGATGTGCTTTAGTCAAGGAATATGCCTAGGGGGATGTCTAGGCCTGTATGACTCAACAAGTTTAGAGTGAAGGCATTTAACGCCATGTGTTACCACAGCCATAGAGCCATAACATAGGAAGGCCATCCCTTGGCCCTACACCACTGTTGTCTGTAAAAAGTGTAACTGCCCTGCTGACGCTATGCTCTTGTGGCTCAGCTTGGCACAGCACAGCATGGCACAGCTCTTGTGCAGGTGCTGGAACCCAGAGACAGTGAAGCTACTGACCCCTGTAAGGGAGAGTGGCTGTCTGGCAGAGAGGCAGGGGACAGCCAGGAACTGGTTTGTGCCCAGAGGGAAAGAGTTAAGCTGTTGACCCTGAAGGGAAGGGAGAGTCAGCCACTCAGCTCTGTGTATGGGAGCGGCCAGAGCAAGCAGCCAGGACAGTGTGAGAGAGCTGTTGATGAGAGAGCTGCTAAATAAAAGTACATTTCACCTGCCTACCCCACCCCTACTACCTGCCGTGGGACTCCTGTATTGGATAGAACAACTCCAGAAAATCTTAAAGCCCTTTCTGTATTACCTAGTTCTCCCTTCCCCTCTCTCCCCAAATCCAAGAGGAAGAGTCAAAGTTACAAGAACTCTCCCTGTTCTCTGCCCCTATACCACACCTAGGTATGGTAGGCTGAGAATTATTCCTATTTTTAAAAATGTCTCATCTAAAACTTCCTCAAATTCCCTCAAATAGATCAATGTAGTTTAATAAATGAATGGTAAAGCTACAGTCATTCACATCTTAGTATGGATTACAGAACTCTGGCACTTGAAGAGAACAGTGCTAAACATCCCTCATCAAGTGACAGGATGAAACTCTGAATCATGTACTCTTTTTTTTTTTTTTTTTGATACAGAGTCTCACACTGTTGCCAGGCGCCAGGCTGGAGTGCAGTGGCACAATCTCGGCTCACTGCAACCTCCGCCTCCCGGGTTCAAGCAATTCTTCTGCCTCAGCCTCCCAAGTAGCTGGGACTACAGGCGCACGCCACCACGCCCAGCTAATTTGTGTATTTTTCGTAGAGACAGGGTTTCACCATGTTGGCCAGAATGGTCTCGACCTCTTGACCTCGTGATATGCCTGTCTCGGCCTGCCAAAAACAAAATCTAAACAATCAAACCACAAAATATCCAAAGTCTTTAGGTAACACTTGGAAGAAATAACAAAACAAAATAATACTTGCTTTAGCAAAAAACTTCCAAAATGAGTGAGTGGCAAATTATTTCCTCTGGTGGCAAAAACAATCTTTGCACTGACATTGCTCCTTTCTTTCCTTTCAGAATGAGAGTAGAGGAGGGTTGAATCCAGACCAAGGAATAGTCAAGCAGGAGAGGCAGTGCCAGTTGGTGCACCAGGAAGAAATGAATAGGCAGGTCACTCAAGGAAACTGAGTCAATTTTTTTTTTTTTTTTTTAAACAGGGTCTCACTGTGTCACCCAGGCTAAAGTGCAGTGGCACAAATCATGGCTCACTGCAACTTCAAACTCCTGGGCTCAAACAATTCTCGCATCTTAACCTCCTGAGTAGCTAGAACTACAGGGACACACGACCACACCCTCACTATATTGCCCAGGCTGGTCTCAAAATAATAGGCTTAAGCGATCCTCCCACCTCAGCCTGCCAAAGTGTTAGGACTATAGGCAGGAACCACTGCAATTGATCTCTGGCCAATTTTTAAATTTTTTGTAGAGATGGGTTTCACCATATTGGCCAGGCTGGTCTCAAACTCCTAAGCTCAAGCAATCCTCTTACCTCAGCCTCCCAAAGTATTGGGATCATAGGCATGAGCCACTGTGCCTGGCCTATGAGTCTAGATCTTATTATAAGGTAAACAAAGCCTTCAGAGAAGATAAGCCAACAAGAAAAAAATCTATTTAACGTTATAGGTAAGCACTGAAAACCAAGAGGTGATGGCAAAGGAGAGTTTAAAGGGAACAGAGAGACAGTTTTGAAGGAACAAGCAGCAGGGTAGTAAAACTTAGTATTTGCCTATAATCAAGCTCATCCAAATTCAGCATATTGGTTCATCTGAGCCTGACAATAACTTTTGAGGTAAATGAGTGAGATATAATTCAACTCAATTTCATAAATGTGGAAACTCAAAGATGTTAAGCAGAAGGTTAAGTGATTTCCCCAGGGCTCATAAAGGAAAGCAATGAGTCAATTAGTATTTTTCATTCTGAATAAATGTATACACATATGTAATGCCAGTTGTTGTAAGTATGCCAAGATTACAACATAACCTTCTTGCTTGGGAAGAAAACATTTACACACAATAAATATTTAAACTGACCCCAAATCTAAAATTTCTGAGGTTTCCTATAGTTGAATTTACCTTCCTAAAATCTCACCCCAGTCGTTTTCAACCTCTGATAAGCATTAGGATTGCCTAAGGAACTTCAGTGAGAGGAAGAAAAAAGTTTACACTGCTTGAACTCTACCACTGAAGAGTCTAATTTAGAGGTGCTTGGGGAGAGGCCCAACATCTGTATTTTATTAAGTATGACAGGTAGTTCTATTGCACCCTAAAGGCTGAACCGCACTGCCTCAAACAAACAGGACTACCACAGAAGGGCTGAGGCCTAAGGAATGCCTGTGATTAAGGGAAGCCAACCAAAGTAATCCATGGTCTTTGGAAAAGAGCCTTCATCCCCAGACTCTGCCCAGAATGAGACAGTGATGTGGACCACCCAGCCCAGGCTCAGGCCTCATGGGGTACCTGGCTCTCGGGACTGGCTATCATCACAAATGTGCAGGTCCAGGCGGGAGATGAGCAGATGGTAGGAGGACTCTTTGACATCAAATTTCTCAAAGTACTGGCTGAGGCGGCTGCTGTTGCTGCTGCTGCTGTTGCCCTGGCTGCCACCAAATGCCTGGGCCCAGGACTGCTGGGCACTGGGAGCTGGTGGAGTGATCTACATGTGACAGAGAGAGAAACAGGAAGTCCAGACCCTGAAAAGATCCTTTGTATGCGTTCTTTAAGCTTTAGTCCAGCCTGAAGAAAACCACAGTTTAGCAAGATGTTCCTTCCGTCTCCTAACTGTTGGCCTACTAGCTCACTTAGGTCTGTTCCAATTATATAACCCAAACTCCAAAAGCCTAATTATAATTAGTCTAATAACTGCTGGAATACAGTTTGTAGTTCTGAATTGCCCTCCCAGCTCTCACCCACCAGTTCTTAGTGGGCTGATGCTAAAACATTTCCTCTAAGAAGTCTTCCCTAAATACTCTCTTTCACCCTGGGTAGTGCAATGCCTCTTCTTTGTGCTCTCATGTCATATTGTTTATTCTATTACAGCATTTATCACACTATACTGTAATAACTCATTTATGGTGCATCTTTCAAGACAGTGAGAGCTCCAAGGACAGGAACAAGTGGTGTATTCCATTTTTCTTCTCCAGTGGCCAGCGCTGTATACTTCATACACTAGAGGTACCCAATGAACAGAATAAATAAAAAATCAGGCCAGGCGTGGTGGCTCACACCTGTAATCCCAACACCTTGGGAGGCCAAGGCGGGCGGATCACAACGTCAGGAGTTTGAGACCAGCCTGACCAACATGGTGAAATCCTGTCTCTACTAAAAATACAAAAAAAATTAGCTGGGCATGGTGGCGTGTGCCTGTAATCCCAGCTACTCAGAAGGCTGAGGCAAGAGAATCACTTGAACCTGGGAAGCAGAGGTTGCAGTGAGCCAAGATTGGACCACTGCACTCCAGCCTGAGTGACAGAGCAAGGCTCTTTCTCAAAAAAAAAAAAAAAAAAAAAATCAGAGGTACAGACAAATCCTATGAACACCCAGAAGTAAATGACAAATCTCCCAAATAAAGTCTAGATTCTACCCATATTAGTATGAATTTGCTCTGGCCTACAAAGTCCTCAGCCCCACCAAGGGTGTGTTTTATCTCTAACCTGTACAGGTTCAGGAGCCAGGCTCTTTCTTTGCTGGGCTGACTTCTCCATGGCCTCACTCAGTGACTCTGCATACTTCATCATAGCCTTGAGTTGTGAGTCAGTCAGCACCCAGAGCAAGTCATCCAACAGGAACATTAGCTTGGAGGCTATCACATTGCAATCTTTGGTCTAAGGAAGCCACAGAGAACATGGGGTTTATTACCTTGCATCATTCTAACTTTCAAAGTGACTACTGCCCAATCCATTTCAGAACTGGCTTTTCAATCTCCAGATGTGAAAGGAAAGTATCAAGCACTTTGGAGAGCCAATTTCTTACAAAACTACTAAAGATACCTTAATTAACAAAAAGCAGCAATAGTCAACTGCCAGGTGCCTATGTCAGTGTGCCTACATATGGGTAAAAATTGCAGTTTCCAAAACTAAGAAAACAGGAAGGTGGAAACATTCTATTACTAGAGGATGTTGGCCAACACTGAATTATAGGCCTTTCCCCTTCAACTGCTATTCCAGGGACCAATAACACTACAAACAATGAGGGAATATCAAATCCAGGCTGTCTCATAGAATAAGAGATGGAACTTTTCATGAGGCCAGAGAACACACTTACTCTTCTTTTGAGGGCTATCTGGATCCTGCCTTGGTTCGTAATAAGCCTCAATGGAGTGGTGACTGGGTCCTGATCACCATTGTCTGTAGCATCTGCCTCAATTCGAAGTGTCTGCCAAGTTATTTCCTTAAACGTTAAAACCTGGATGAAGAGAAAGTAAAATCTCTTAATCCTGTGAATGAAATTAACCAAGAAGCAAGAAATCCAAGGAAAAAAGACTGGCAAGGCAGAGATTCCCAGCTGGGATCCCAAGGAGAAAAAGTAGTGAATTGGGAATCCATAACTGAGGAAAGGATGTAGCAGTAACACTGGACAAAGTCTTCTGGGTTCCCAGAAATGGGGAACATTTGAGGAAATCCACAAAGGGGGAATAATATCCTTTTAAGAATTAGTCCTACTTTGAATCTTCCCCACTCTCTCCCCTCACAATGATGGGGCTGTCACCTCTCCTCGGCGAGGGTCAGTGATGCGGGTGAGGCGAAGGTCACTCTGCTGCCAGTTAGGGTTGACACTATAGCCCTGGAGCTGCCACAGTTCAAAAGAAGCATGGAAGGCCTTGGCGTGAATCTTGATGGTGATAGAATTGACGATGATAAACATCCCTTCCACCACCTTTTCAGCAAAGCCATATTCACTACAATAAATGAGGCAGACCAACAATCAGAATCATGGGACACTTTCTGCACAGTCTTTATACTGGATGTTTAAATATTTTCTATCATGATGATACAGTAGTCCTTTTTTTTTTTTTTTTTTTTTTTTGAGACAGGGTCTTGCTCTGTTGCCCAAGCTGGAGTACAGTGGCACGATCATAGCTCACTGCAGCCTTGAACTCCTGGCCTCAAGTGATCCTCCTGTCTCGGTCTCTGAAATAGCTGGAATTATAGGTATGAGCCACTGTGCTCAGTTGCAGTACTTTCTTCAATGGGAAATTTTTTTTAAAGAATAAAAGAGAAAGAGTTGACCTTGAAACAATCTCCCTCCTGTTAGAAAGAATAAATTGACAAATCTTTTTATAGCCCATAAACTACCTAAATATTTAGATAATGTCTGTGAGGGCAGGTATAACTACAGAAAAGAGACACAGGCCGGGCGCAGTGGCTCAAGCCTGTAATCCCAGCACTTTGGGAGGCCGAGGCGGGTGGATCACGAGGTCAAGAGATCGAGACCATCCTGGTCAACATGGTGAAACCCCGTCTCTACTAAAAAAAAAAAAATACAAAAAATTAGCTGGGCATGGTGGTGCGTGCCTGTAATCCCAGCTACTCAGGAGGCTGAGGCAGGAGAATTGCCTGAACCCAGGAGGCGGAGGTTGCGGTGAGCCGAGATCGCGCCATTGCACTCCAGCCTGGGTAACATGAGTGAAACTCCGTCTCAAAAAAAAAAGAGACACAGGGTTTCTATAAAATCTTCAGAGACATGAAAGCAAGACCTGGTCTCAAAAAAAAAAAAAAAAAATCTTCAAAGATGGAGCATACTCTGCAAAGGTAGTAGAAAGAAAAGTAGTACAGCCAGGTGAATAAGAGGTTCAAAGTCCCACCTTGACCCTGTCAAATACAGTCATCCCTTGGTTTGTGAAAGTACTAGTTCCAGGACCTCCCACTACCACCTTGTACACCAAAATCTGCTCAAGTCTCATAGTCAATCCTGAGGGACCTGCATGTATGAAAAGTCGACTCCCGAAGTAGTGGCATCCTGCAATATTTTTAACCTGCATTTGGTTGAAAACAACTGCATATGCATGGACTCATGCAGCTCAAACTTGTGCTGTTCAAGGATCAGCTGTGCTTCCCAAAGAACACAGTTATACTTCCACAGTGAGAAGACAGAAATGGCAAAAGGAGAGGATGAAGGACATCTTAAAGTCCCTCTAGATGTAAAGAAAGCAGCAATTCTTGACATGTTAGTGAAATCACTGTTCATTACAAGAGATAAAAGGAGATCTAGGCCGGGCGCAGTGGCTCACACCTATAACCCAAGCACTTTGGGAAGCCGACATGAGCGGATCACGAGGTCAAGAGACTGAGACCATCCTGGCCAACATTGTGAAACTCCATCTCTGCTAAAAAGATAAAAGTTAGCTGGGCGTGGTGAGGTCTGTGCCTGTAGTCCCAGCTACTCAGGAAGCTGAGGCAGGAGAATCGTTTGAATCTGAGAGGCAGAGGTTGCAGTAAGCTGAGGTCACACCACTGCACTCCAACCTGGAGACAGAGTGAGACTCCACTCAAAAAAGAAAAAAGGAGGTCTGAAGATTCAAACTGAAAAAAATACATATATTTGCAATTTATGTCACCAATAACTAATATCCCTAATATATAAAGAACTTCAAAAAAACAGAAGAAAGACCAAGAGCCCAATAAAACTAGGACAAAATATGGACAGGTCACAGAAGAAATAAATGCAAATAGATATTAAACATAAAGAGGCTGGGCACAGTGACTCACACCTATAAGCCCAGCACTTTAGGAGGCAGAGGTGGGAAAATCACTCGAGCTCAGGAGTTTGAGACCAGTCTGGGCAACAAAGGGAGATGCCCTCTCTACAAAAACTCTCTACAAAAAAATTTAAAAATTAGCCAGGTGTGGTGGTGAATGCCTGTAGTCCCAGGTACTTGAGAGGCTGAGATAGGAGGATCACTTGAGCCCAGGAGACTGAGGCTACAGTAAGCCAAGACTGTGCCACTGCACTCCAGCCAGGGTGATAGAGTGAGACCAGAAAAAAAAAAAAAACAAAATGAAAAAAAGGAAAAAAAAGTCTCAGAAAAAAAAAAAAAAGAAGAAAACAAAAAATGCTGGGCACAGTGGCTCATGCCTATAATCCTAACACTTTGGGAGGCTAAAGCAGGCAGATCACTTGAGTCTAGGAGTTCGAGCTCAGCCTAGCAGCATACTTAGACCTGGTCACTACAAAAAAAATAGAAAAAAATTAGCCTGGTACAATGGTGTATGCCTGTGGTACCAGCAACTTGGGAAGCTGAGGTGGGAGGATCACTTGAGCCTGAGGAGGTCTAGGCTGCAGTGGAACTGTGATGATCATGCCACTGCACTCCAGCTTGAGTGACAGAGTAAGACCCTGTCTCAAAAAAAAAAAGAAAGAAACAAAGAAAAAAAGCCAACAAAGTGGCTCAAGCCTGTAATTCCAGCACTTTGGGAGGCCAAGGCAGGCAGATCACGAGGTCAAGAGATCGAGACTATCCTAGCCAACTTGGAAAAACTCTGTCTCTACAAAAACTACAAAAATTAGCTGGGCATGGTGGCATGCGCCTGTAGTCCCAGTTAATCAGGAGGCTGAGGCAGGAGAATCGCTTGAACCTGGGAGGCGGAGGTTGCGGTGAGCCAAGATTATGCCACCGCACTCCTGACTGGCAACAAAGCAAGACTCCATCTCAAAAAAAAAAAAAATTTTAAGTGTTGAGTTCAGTCCAGGAGAGCTTCCCTGTTCTGTTAATTAAACTCTGGGACATTAAAATGGGCTAGGGAAGATGATTGGGTAGGAAGTATTATTTATTCATTTGCCTCCCAGCCTACAAAAATGCCTGCTTGGGTCTAATACATCAACTGTTAAAGATGCCTGGAAGAGACAGGACTGAGAGGCTGAAGACATAATGAGCTTATACTAGCAGACAAGATACATTCAGTTTTAGGAAGTTTGGGGTCTGATGGGCTGAGATACAAATAAACTGAATTTTTAAAAAATATATAGCTGCTTTTCAGAAAAGGAAAAAATGATGCTCAAACTCATAAATCAAAATTATGCTTAGAGTCACTAGATTTATGGCAAAGATGACAGTGCAGGGGGAAAAAGATGTCTTTTCAATACATGGTGCATAGTTAGTTTGCAAATACCCATAATGAGAAAAATTAATATTGATGCCCACATGCATCAAACAACAACAACAAAAATCAGTTCCAAGATGGACTAGAGATCTAAATGTGAAAAGCCAAACAATAAAGCTTTTTGAAGAAAATATAGGCGACTCACTTCCTGCCTTAGGATAGAAAGATTCCTTAAACAAAATACAAAAAGTGTTAATCATAAAGTGAAAAAAAGATATACTGAACTGTATCAGAATAATTTCTGTTAAATATTAAAATTAAGAGTGGGCCGGGGCAGTGGCTCACATCTGTAATCCTAGCACTTTGGGAGGCTGAGGCAGGTGGATGACCTGATGTCAGGAGTTTGAAACCAGCCTGACCAACATAGTGACACCCTGTCTCTACTAAAAATACAATAATTAGCTGGGCATGGTGGCAGGCACCTGTAATCCCAGCTACTCAGAAGGCTGAGGCAGGAGAATCGCTAGAACCCAGGAGGTGGAAGTTGCAGTGAACCGAGATCGCACCATTGCACTCCAGCCCAGGTGACAAAAGTAAAACTCCATCTCAAAAAAAAAAAAAATTAAGAGTGATCAGTATCTTAGTGTTCTGTAAAGAATAGAAGATATCTGCAATACATGTATCTAACCAAGTACTTGTTTCCAGAATATATAAAGAACTTCTACAAATTAATAAGAAAAAGACAACCCAAAGATAAATGGGCAAAACATACAAGTGCTTTATGAAAGACAAATACCCAAAATTCCAATAAACCAATCATCAGAAAAATATAAATTAAACCATAATGTGATACAACTACCCACCTACTAGAATGACTAAAATGAAAAGACAGACAATACCAGGTGATAGCAAGGATATGGAACAAATGGAACTTTTATGCAATACTAGCGGGGAAAGTAGTACAACCACAATGAAGAACTATCTAGCAGTATCTACAAAAATAGAACCTATAACCCAGCAATTCTACTGCTAGGTATATATAAAACAGAAATGTGTACACATGTTCACAAGATATATACACAAGAAGGTTCACAGCAGCACTATTCTCTTTTATTACATGTTTTTAAGTTATATGCAGGAAAATTCATTCTCTGTGGTGTATGGGTTGTTGTTCCCCGTCCCCCTAACCCCCCAGAGACAGAGTCCTGCTCTGTCATCCAGGATGGAGTGCAGTGGTGCAATCTTGGCTCACTGCAACCTCCACTTCCCAGGTTCAAGCAATTCTGCCTCAGCCTTCAGAGTAGCTGGGATTACAGGCACACACCACCACGCCCAGCTAATTTTTGTATTTTTATTTTTTAGTAGAGATGGGGTTTCATCATGTTGACCAGGCTGGTCTTGAACTCCTGACCTCGTGATCCGCCCGCCTCAGCCACCCAAAGTGCTGGGATTACAGGTGGGAGCTACTGCGCCCAGCCAGCTCTGTGGGTTTTGACAAATACATGGAGTCATGATTGACCACCAAAGTCGTCATAGAGGAGAGTTCTATATAGCAACACTACACTTAAGAACCAAAAACTAGGCCAGGTGTGGTGGCTCAAGCCTGTAATCCCACCAATTTGGGAGGCCAAGGCGAGTGGATCACTTGGGGTCAGGAGTTTAAGACCAGCCTGGCTAACACAGTACAACCCTGTCTCTGCTAAAAATACAAAAATTAACCAGGGAAGGCCGGGCACAGTGGCTCATGTGAGTAATCCCAGCACTTTGGGAAGCTGAAGCAGGTGGATCATGAGGTCAGGAGTTCAAGACCAGCCTGACCAACATAGTGAAACCCCGTCTCTACTAAAAATACAAAAAA